GGATCCACCACCATTATGGGTAGATCCACCACCATTCCAGGGGGATCCACCACCATTATGGGTAGATCCACCACCATTCCAGGTGGATCCACCACCATTCCAGGGGGGTCCACCACCATTCCAGGGGGATCCACCACCACTATGGGTAGATCCACCACCATTCCAGGTGGATCCACCACCATTCCAGGGGGGTCCACCACCATTCCAGGGGGATCCACCACCATTATGGGTAGATCCACCACCATTCCAGGTGGATCCACCACCATTCCAGGGGGGTCCACCACCATTCCAGGGGGATCCACCACCACTATGGGTAGATCCACCACCACTCCCTGTAGGACTACCCGGACCATCCTCATCCCATCATTTAATGACTTCCCGTGAGGTTTGGTGTCCGTGCTGGATTCAGGAACCTCACAGCTTGTTTTCCCACCCTCGCAGTGACCTGGAATCCCCTCTGGAAAGCCTGCAGCTGGCATTCTGCTCCCTCCTCCCCAGCGACCTCACCTTCCTCTCCCAAAGCCTCCACGCTCCAGCCTTGAGGAAGCTGGATTTGAGTGGCCACCACCTCAACGAAAACCTTCTCCAGCCCCTCCAGCTGCTCCTGGAAGAGGCTTCAGCATCCCTGCTCCACCTGGATCTCATGGAATGCCACCTAACAGACACCAGGTTGGAAGTTCTGCTCCCGACTCTTTGCCGCTGCTCCCGGCTCCGTTGCTTGGGACTTTTTGGGAACCCTCTCTCCACACCAGGACTCCAGAGCTTGTTAAGGAGAACTGGGGTGTTAAGGGATCTCCGCCTGGTGGTTTATCCCTACCCCTTGGAATGTTACATCCAGGATCCAACCTCTGGCCACCCCGTGGAGGTGGATGAGGAACGTCTGGCCGCGGTGGGCGCGGAGCTCAGCCGGATGCTGGGAAGCTCTGGAAGGGCTGGAACCCTCTGGACCACCAGCCTCTGCCCACATGGTGCCCTCAACTACCTCACCCCCTAACCCTGGCCTGGCCCAACATGGAGTGTTTCCTCCTCATTTTGGTGCTGCTCTTGGTCATTTTTGGTCACTGTGGTTCCAAGACCCCTCAAACCTCCCAAATTAGGGTGTTTCCTCCTCATCCTGATGCTGCTCTTGATCATGTTTGGTCACTGTGGTTCCAAGACCCCTCAAAACTCCCTAGATTGGCTCTTTCCTCCTCATCCTGGTGCTGCTCTTGATCATTTTTGGTCACTGTGGTTCCAAGACCCCTCAAACCTCCCAAATTAGGGTGTTTCCTCCTCATCCTGGTGCTGCTCTTGGTCATTTTTGGTCACCACCACGTTGCGACCCCTCAAAACTCCCCAGATTGGCTCTTTCCTCCTCATCCTGATGCTGCTCTTGATCATGTTTGGTCACTGTGGTTCCAAGACCCCTCAAACCTCCCAAAATCGGCTCTTTCCTCCTCATTTTGGTGCTGCTCTTGGTCATTTTTGGTCACTGTGGTTCCAAGAACCCTCAAAACTCCCCAGATTGGCTCTTTCCTCCTCATCCTGGTGCTGCTCTTGATCATTTTTGGTCACTGTGGTTCCAAGAACCCTCAAAACTCCCCAGATTGGCTCTTTCCTCCTCATCCTGATGCTGGTTTTGATCATTTTTGGTCACTGTGGTTCCAAGACCCCTCAAACCTCCCAAATTAGGGTGTTTCCTCCTCATCCTGGTGCTGCTCTTGGTCATTTTTGGTCACCACCACGTTGCGACCCCTCAAAACTCCCCAGATTGGCTCTTTCCTCCTCATCCTGATGCTGCTCTTGATCATGTTTGGTCACTGTGGTTCCAAGACCCCTCAAACCTCCCAAAAT